CTCCACAAACCTTTCCAAGAACTAGCTGCCAAAACTACTAGTATCCCTCCATATTCAAGAGGCCCTTCTCTTATTTCACGATCTACTACACCATGTCTGAATACCCATGCAGCAGACTTTGCAAGACTTGCTGTTAGGGTAGGAATTGTCATAGGTCAAATCTGGCAGGATATCACAACCAGTATTGATACTGCCAATATTGCCTTTGATACTCTATCAGCCGACTCACAGGCCAATGCATGAGGGCTGATAGAAGTCTAGCAACGATTACTGGAAGAATAAGATATACATGATAGTGACATTGCTATTATATTATGTCAGTGTACTGTGGTGGAAACAAACGTCCAAGAGATTCAAGAAAGGATTAACGGGGAAATTGCCACCAAATTAGCAGTACAAGATGTATGACAAGAGCATCGTGAAGGGGTAACTACCCACTTGCAGCGAGAAGCTCTCGAATGAGGCCTTACCCTGGAACGAGCTTTCCAAGAGTTTAGAGCAAAACAGATCCAACACAATCAAGCAATATAAACCTTGATATCTAATCTGGCCGTCTGACAAGAAAGGGACTTAGATTGGTATGGTGATTTTACCTGTACCATCCAGAGAAATCAGACCCATATATCCAATACTCTATTCCTAGTTCTTGACAAACTTAAGGCACTAGATAATGGGCAACCAAGTGGTCGGCATGCTATCTTGAAGTCAGTCCCAGACAAGTAAGAAGATGCTGCAGAAAGAAAGGAACCTGAGGAAATCCCTCCCCAAAATAAAGAGAAACAAAGGGCAGGAGAACCTCCAACTCCTATAATACCGGGCAGCGACCCGGAAGATGGAAGTGACGATGAAGATAACGATGGAAATGGAGGAAAAGGTGGAGGAGGACCATGCAGGTTTAAGCAGGAGCTATCCCCTGAACAACCTGAAACAGCCAATATGCTTGCAGAAACATTGGCACAAACAGTTAAATGACTGGCAGATCCGCCCCTATTTTTCGAAGCAAAAACTAGTACATACGTCTACTATTGGTTAATCTAATATGTGGATTACTTCGAATGCAACCCTATGATTTGGGATGATGATCGGGAACGTATCATCTATGTCCTGGCAAGAACAAAGGGAAATCAGGTCAATCCAATATCTGTGTGTTACCGGCATGCAATAGATGGCCTCTGTGGAGAAGAACCAGACCCGAAACTCTGTTCATGTACGCGCTTTGAACACAAATTCACCAATAGGTAAGCCCCTCTTGAAGGACGTAAAGTCATACGGGACATGGAATCAGTCGAGTATAAAAATGGCATTCAGATGTTTATAGGAAAAATGCATAATCTGAATCTCCAAGCTTGACTAACAGGACCAGCCTGGCATATGGCATGTGACAGGAAATTGCCCTCCAAGATCAGATGGCGACTCTTCTTAAGCAAATATGATACCAACATAAAATAGGAAAAAGCAGTTCACGAAGCAGGAAGGGATAAGAAAGAACAGCTAGAATGGGACCACCTAGATTGGGATAAACCAAAACCCATGAAAATATTTCCAGATAAGAAACCTGTAGACAAGAATTAACCAATGGTAAAAAGAGAGAAATCCTTTATAAAAAAAGGTGGTCCCTCCCAAAAGAGGAAACGGGAACTAGAGTCCAAGAAACCGGTAATGAGATCTACTGTCACGAATGTGGCTTGGCAAGGAAAAAGTTTTCATGTGACACATGGTTATGAGTCACAGGTATATTATTGTTTTACACATATGACTCATTCGAGTCATATGATTTATTATATATGGGATTTGTAATGCTTTCGCACATGGCTCAAATATGAGTCATGGGACTTGCACCTTGCGAGTGTGCCTTGCAGGTATGCCTTGCACATATGATTTATGTTTCGCACATGACCTCGTTATGAGGTCATGGGTTTCATGCATATGACTAAGTCGAGTCATATGACTTGTTTATTGTGTTATGATTGGTTTATGAGTTTTTGCACATGACCTTGCTATGAGGTCATGGGTTTTGAGCATGTGACTACTTTGGTCACATGACTAGTTTGTTATGATTTGGTTTTGCACTTGTGACCACTTGGGGTCACATGACTACGGGTGGGAAGAATACTATAAAAGGAGGCCCATGCGGCCGAGGAGAATAGATTGTTCATGCTTTGTTCTAAGTAATTTTCCTTGTCCTAGCCGTCACTTCGCCTCGAGCGTTTCTTTCGCCATCATGATCGGCCTTGATGCCTCGGATTCTCGGGGAGATATCTGGGTTCGCTCTGTAGTTCCGACGTCTTTGGTATTGAGGTCTGTTAGGTGTTGCGTGGCGGACTACTTGTTTGCTTCTCGTTTCGTCGCTTGATGGTTTCTCCTGATGCTGTCACTTCGAGCACTTCATCATGGTCGCTTACGAGCCCCTTTTGGTAAAATGTCTACCACTTCCTGTCTATCGTCTACTCACATGTTTCGTGTTCAATTGGGGGGATTGAACACTGTGTTTGGGGGAATCACCCGTGTTATTCTTTGGGCCAGCTCATGTTCTTTGTTGGGTTTTAACGGAGTCCTTAGTTCTAGCAAGACAAAATACCCTTGGGTTAGACTGATAACCTTCCCAAGTATCAATGCGTCGTACTGGCCGTGTCAATCCACTGGGGAGGGGGCCTTCCCGGCCCACCCC